AACAACTTTTGACGAAGAAATGTCGCGGCTGGAGGAAGCATTTGAAAGCAGCAAACCTCAAACTCCATCCCAAAAAATGTCATTTGTTCCAGAAAGAGGTGCTTTACTTAGGCCACATTGTTAGTGAGAATGGTGTACAAACTGATCCTGATAAGGTGAAAGCAGTGCATGCCTGGCCAACACCAGACAATCTGGGAGAGCTGAGAAGTTTTTTGGGACTCTGTACTTATTACCGCAAATTTGTGAAGGACTTTGCAACTATAGCTGCTTGAAAGAATGCTGGCAAGAAACTGTCCATTCAAACTTTTGGCCTTTTTTAGTCAAATCATGTAGTGGAATCTTAACTCTGAGATGTCCTCCTGTTACAGTATCATGGGATTGACGCAACACAACTTCTCGTAACCTTCTCGGTATAACCGTTTGCCAGGTCGTCACTTTCCCATCTGCAGTTTCCCATTTCTGGATAAGAATACCACCTTCAAGCCTCAACTGGTCCTATTGTGCCCTATAGTTCTTTGTCACAGAGCTTAGACTAGACATCTTCTCCGAAGCAGGGCGCAAAACACTTGCTTTTACAAAATCAATCACTGGCTTAAAATCTTGGTCTTTCTCCTGTTCTGCTTTGATATCTATATTTGGTTCCACTTCACCATCATCAACTCTTTCAGTCGGCTTGACTTCAGCTTGATGGCACCTGGATAGTTCAACCTCTGTTTTGCAGCAATGTCTGCAGTCATTTTTGCAGGGTCTTCGACTCAGTCCATCAGCATTACCATGGGTTTTACCTTCTCTATATTCAATATCATAATTATACTGGTCTATTTTTCCGATCCAGCGTGCTAGTTGTCCCTCTGGGTTCTTTAATGATCTTAACCAGTGTAACACAGCATGGTCTGTCCTAATGGTAAACCTTGCACCATAGAGGTAAGGGTGGAAATATGTCAGACTCTTTACTATAGCAAGGAGTTCCTTCCGTGTTACACAGTAGTTCCTCTCTGGTCTACTCAAAACCCTACTAAAGTAGGCCACAACATGTTCGTTTTCGCCCACTTTCTGAGACAATACTCCTCCAATTCCGACATTACTAGCATCACAATCCAGTATGTACTGCAGTGAGGGATCTGGAAGCTTTAAAAGTGGAGCAGAGGCCAATTTTTCCTTCATAGTTCACGTCCCTGATGCTTGGGTCCCCTTTTAGCACAACATGTACTGCATGTTCTGCACCATTCTTTCACATCTTGTCTCATACCTATCCAGTAAAATCTGTGTCGTAGGTGACTCAATGTTATTGGTGCACCAACTTGATATAACTTCATTGGAGTTGGTCTTCCTGGGATTATACAACCACACTTTGTCTCCTGGTTCAAAGCTGACTTCAGTAGATCTCTTATCATAAAATAGCTTCATCGAATCAGCAGACGTTTTCAAGTTTGAACGCACTTGATGGTGAATATCATCCATCCTTTCCGATAACACTTTCACAAACTCTGACACATTCTCAGGTAACTCTTCATAAGGTGGGCGTCCTGTTAACAGATCCACTGGCAACCGAAGTTCCCGACCAAACATCAAATTTGCTGGAGTGTATCCAGTGGTATCATGCTCTGCTGTCCTATAGGCCATCAACAGTGGAGGGAGTAAGACACCCCAGTCATCTTGACGGCTATTACAAAACTTTGCAAATTCCTGTCCCAGTGTCTAGTTGTACTTTTCTACCATCCCATCAGACTGTGGGTGAAGTGGCGTTGTCCTGGTCTTTCGTATGTCAAACAACTGGCAGCATTCTTGGAACACAGCTGATTCAAAGTTACGGCCTCGATCTGAATGCAGTTCATATGGCATACCAAATCTGAAGAAGAGATCACTAATAGCCGAAGCTACAGTTGTAGCTTCCTGATTTGGTATTACATATGCCTCAGGCCACTTGGTGAAATAATCAATCACCACACAAATGTACTTGTTTCCAGCACGAGTTTGGGGCAAAGGACCAGCAATGTCAATGGCTACTCTTTGCTCCCAGAATTTATCCCAAATAAATGTTCAATACTTAATGCCTGTAAAGTAAATGCTACAGGTACTTCTATTAAGATGAATAATTGAAAGCAGTAAGCCTAAATATCTTGTTCAGACACAATTTTTGAGTCTTACAGAAAGGTGAATGAAGTTACAAAACAAAGAATTTTATCAAGATATAAATGACCTGTTTTGATGGTTTAGAAACAATGCAGTAAAATCTGCAACATTATAACAAAATTACAAAAAAGCAAAAATTTCTATATAGGAACTAAACGTTGCTTTGACAGTGAAAAAGTTAATGTTAAAGCTAACTGTAACAGAATAAGTCAGTGATTTGAAACATGCAATCCAGCAAATAAGAACACTGAGAAAAAACACCATTACCATCTGGTTCACCTCCTCCATTTGGTGACAAATTTTGCCAAAAGATGGAGTGGTTGATGTGCCCCCCTCCATTAAATCTTAAAGCAGGCTGCAAAGCAATTATACTTGTTATGTCACCTATTTAGGAAAAGAAAATGTTTTAAGTTCAATATATAATCAAAAAATACCTTTACAGGAGGATAAGCACAGAAATATCTTATACATACCATAACTATAAATACAAGGTGCATGTCAAAAGACAAGACTTAATAAAAATGTTTATTAACTTAAAAAAAAGCACAATATACAATTTCAAATGTTCCAATTGTTCACCTCAGTAAATGCTATATTTATTCAGAACTGAAAGAGAACAATTACAGTGTATTACTCTTTGGTTGACCGAGTTTCTTCCACTTATCTTGATCCTGTTCCATTTCATATGGCTTTCAAGTGTGAGTTACTTCAGCAAAGACATTTATAGTTTTATTAAAAACAAACCAAGCAGGTTCCTGTGTACTTTTATATTACCTGAATCAGCAAGCAGTCACAAATATTGACTTGTGTCCAAACCAAGATATTTTTACATACAACTGAAGCCTTAATCCATGAACAAGATAACTATACATGTTGCGGTAATTTTTTCTTGGATTTTCAAACCATATTTCAAAATATTTGTAGATTTACAAATGCCAATATATTTTACTAAAATATGTTATGCATTTGCTAGTCTGGAATACAAAGAATTAATACATATTTTCTGAGTTTTTGGTCCTAGAGATTAATATATTTATAAAAAACTAGCTGGTATCAATATACATAAATTATTGGTGTAACACAAAACAGACAAATATCAATGTGCTCAAAAATCATACAATGAAGAAACTGAAATACAGAGACAACTTTGTCATTGAACAACAACAACAAAATTATATTAATGTATGGAAGGAAATGCAGTTGTAAAAAACATTTTGTAAAATGAAACTCGGGAGGTAATATATATATGGAACAGAACACAGTAGAGGCAGATCAGCAAGTAGGAAAAAAACAATACAGAAGTTCATTTTTTAGGGAGCAATTCAATAAATCCCAAACATTGTTCGAGTACCATAAAATGGAAATCAATGTTGCAAAAATAAGAATATAAAGACATAGTTTCAATATCTCAACATACTGATGTCAGACCTGTAACTAGAATTATGTATGACCATTAACTGCATTACCATTACACCAGCTAGCTTACAAACAGTACATTGGTACTTAACTCACTCCCCTTTGAAAATTTACAGTATTAACTGATAAGTATTCAAATTGTTAAAGGCAAACAAGCAGGTTTACATTATGTTGCACTAGGGAATGGTAATGTTCAAGATGCACACAAAAACAAAAAAATAGTGCAATGTGGTCAATCTTTAAAAAGCAAATAACAAATTTAGGTATTGCATGAATTTTACATTTTAACAGCCTTATTAATATTAATACTTAAATGATACATTTTCATGAACTAGAAATTTTATTTAAATGATTTAATGCATTTTAATTAGGAATAAGATAAATTGGACTGTCGAATAATGAATGTAACTTGACAAGTAGTTGTCACCAGTCTTTAAAATTACACTCCCTCTTCCATTTATCACCAATCCTTTACTCAAGAAGAATCAGCCCAAATCTTGACAAGTTCAGGAACTCTCCAGAGCACGTTTGACAGCAAACTTTACCAACAGTTATTAATAAAGCTGGGTAATAACCTTAATTAACAGATAACCTATAAACATCAATTAACTCAATTAATGCATAAAATTAATCATCAATTAATCAAAATAAGATTAAACTGGTTAATGGCATGAACATAATCAACTAAATTAAATTAGTTTCTGAGTATTACTGTTTGATTATTCCAGCTACCTATGTAATTAAAATATTGACATTATGATTTCTCATTCTTGATTAATTCAAGTTTGATCAGCTTAATTACGACTCACAAAAATAATCATCTCATTGAAATTAGTTTTCAATTATCACTATTTTGGATTCTTCCAACAATAAAAGCCTCATGAGAATAATAAATTAATGAGCCCAACAAATAATAAATTAGCAAGTACCACTAACTGTCAGTTTTACTAATTAAAATAATCAGTTATTGATATGTGAAATAAGGCTTACAGAAAAATCTGCTAGAGAATTTTAGTGCTGACCTTTTAGTGCATTTTTATGAATCTTTACCAGAAACTAATGCAATTTACATGCATATGTCAAAATGTCATTTTTCAAAGTTTTTCTTAGCATACAAGTCCAGCTACTGTTGCACAAAATGTTAGAGTTCAGATATTTTAAATGAAAAGGAACCCATGATGTTTTACATTATTGGTTATTTAAATACTTACTTTTTGCTTGAGCTTCAGCTAATTTTTCTTCTGCAATGTTAAGATTGTTTACATACGTTGCATGGTGTTTCTGATGATGAAGTTGCATTATTTCTGCTGAAATAACTGGTTCAAGAGCATTGTAATCATATGGCAAATCTGGCAGTGTGTGTTTTGCACAATGCTGGCTACAAGCAGCTGACACCAAGCGAAAAACCACTAAAACAAAAATATAATATAGTAAAAATACAAACTTAAAAATGCATGCCTAAAATGATAGCTGTCAGATCTGGATAACCTTTATTGTCCATTGATTGAAAATTATGATTCAGTTGCCTCCAAATTAACACACGCACACACACAAGCATTCTGTATACTTGTGTATATACTGCTTAAAATCCTTTGTTATTAAATATTTTGCCTGTACTCTTTAAAATATCTGTTCACCCAGCTTCAGTCATACCTTTAGTTAGTTTTGATATACCTTAAACATAATTGTCACTAACAACACATATTTATTCACTTCCTTCATAAATACAGGTCTTAAAAATGGACTTGTAGCAATACTTAATGGTCTAACAAACTGCTGAAACTTTACTATGGAATAATTTGAAATGAACACAGCATAAATTTACATTTAATACCTAGAATTTTTTATACCTGGGTTTGAAATCATGTAATACAGAATGGTGAAATAAAAATTATTAGTATACCAAATATTAAAAATATTTTATTTTACACAACCTAACAATACCTTATGAGGATGTGTCATACAATGTTTTGTAGCCAGTGAAATTTCTGAAATTCTTCAAATTATTTATTAGACTATGTTGTAGACTATGTCTACTTATTAAAGTTAAGTCTCTACAATCTAAATGTTAAGAACAGAACCAACATTAAGGGTTTTTCAGAATGCAAGATTGGCCAATTTGAGATACAACTCGATACAAACTAAAGCTTAGCTGTACTAACATGTCTGCTTGCTGCTTTGTTTTCAATACAATTTTTATCACATGATGAGAGTAGTTCCAAAAAAAACCCTGTTAAGTGTTTTAAATGGGAAGCTCTACCCACAGCAGTGGTATGTATATTGTAGAAATCCCATGAAAATACCTCTGCTTCCTAGCCTATCAGAGTAACTTATTTTCATAAGGTTGACAGAAATTATCATTGTGCATTAAACAGTTGCTACACAATAATATAGGCCCTGGAAAAAAAAAATTGTGTGCGGCTCTAAATGAGAAATTTAGACTAATCTTCATGGGCAGCTTTTTCTTCTTCTTTGAGTTGTGGGTGTTTTGATGTTACATATTCAAGATGCAAGATTAATTTAAAGGAACAATAAAGTTTTCAGGGAAGATCTTTAGTATACAGTGTACAGAATATGCTGTTATTTATGTACAGGCTAAATAATCATTATAAAATAGCATTAGTTATCCCCCCAGTTCATCATTATGAAAATCAGTCATATGATGAACAGTTACATGTTCTGAAGTGCAAATAATTGAACATTCAACCTCTATATATGTACACACACAAACATGGTATTTAGAACATGTAAAACAAGATTCTTTTTATAGATGAGTCATACTTCACTCTGTTGCCAGGTAACACACTTATACTTATCTGTAGAGAATCTAGAAACAGATCCAACCTATTTTTTTTTTGTTTTTTTTATAGAGAAATTTGCCACACATGGCAGTGGTAGAATTATGGTTAGCAAAAATAAGCACTGGTGAACATAAAGACCTCTACAAGCAGCAAAACAGTATCATTAATGGCATAGATTATAAGAACCCTATCATATAACCTACTGTATATTACCATATGCTGATGCATGTGACCTTGATCTCAGCCTAATGAGTGATAAAGATTATCTCCAACATGCTAAACTGGTAAACACATTCTTTAAAGAAGAGTGTCTGAATAGTGTTACCTTCACGCTAACCAGACTTAGATGTATAGGAAGCTCTTGGGAGATTTAGACTTAAGACATATAGGAAGCTCTTGAGAGATTTGTCATTACATTCCATTAAGTGACTTTAGACACTAAAGAAGCCTTCAAAAAATGGCTTTTCCAGAAGAGTGATCAAGCATAACTCAGGAACTTATCAACACACTGACTTTTAAGCATGCAAAAATGATGCCAAGCTGCACATGATCTTCTTGATGACTATGATTTATACTGAAATGTAATGAACAACAAAGATGCAAAAATCATATTTTCCAACTGTTAATTTACAACTATACAAGCTAAATGATCAACAATTTGTACTCCAGATCGCATGACTCATTTGCTTAAAAAGTAACTTAAGGTGTTGGTTGGTATAACGATGGTTTTACCTTTTCATATTTATAATATTACAAATTCCAATTATCCTTTTATTTTTTCATGCAGTGTATATCTATCAATCAACTCATTTCAGTAAATGATTATTACAAATCTTAAAAGGTAGCTTGATAAATATCACAGTGTGGTTCAAACTAACATTAAGATTACTACAGATTAAAATGAAAATTTACCAATATGGTAACTAATCTATAGATATTGTTAAATCTTAAGAAATTCAAATTCTCCACTTCGACAAGTTTAGAAAAAATAACTTTTGAAGAACTTGTAGCATTTCGCCACAATTTCATTCTTTGTATTTTTATTTGACACTGGGCAGCTGGTATATAATTGAATAAGTTGTTTAAACACTTGTTTAACAAGTAAAAGCTTGGAATGGTCTATTCTGGCTCACAGACACATCCCCAATGAAAGAATAGACCATTCCAAGCTTTTACTTGTTGTTAAACAAATGTATAAACAATTTATTCAAATATTTAATTTTGATGTGTCAAAAGTCAATGCAACTTAAACAGTGATGTATATTTGCTAGAAATGTGAAAAGTGATAATTTTATGAATGGTAATGTCTACTTTCTAGCATTAACATGACTTAATAAAAACTATTGTTTTAAAATAGTTTTTGTATTTTAAATAAAAATAATTATTTGTAGTCTAGTATTTACTGGAAATCATCACAGTTTTATAATTTGACTGCCAATGACAAAGTGTATCTAACTACCAAAACATTGTTCTGCTGATGTTTACAACAGTAATATTTAAAAAACAATTATAATTGTATTATGTTTACAAAATATTAGCTTTTCACTTTATGTATATATATAACAAACATATTAATTCAAGGGTATGAATTGTAATTTTCTATTTATACCAATTATAAATTATTTAAACATCATCCAACAAGTTTTTAGTTAACTGTAACCACAGTTGGCACTAAATTAAAAAACAAAAAATATTTTTATATGACTTAAGCTGTATAAACTTAAATTGTTTTTGATCCAAAGCATGGTTCTTAATATTATTTCTTTGGCTTCCCCCTTCTCACCTATCTCCTCACATTGTCCTAAAAAAAATGGAGTTTTCAGCATATTCCAAACCATACAGTGTACAAAAGTACACAGAAGTCCTAACAGTTTTAAAATAAAAATGTACTCTATATGTGTCCTTATGATGGCTTACACTTTAGTAAGCTGAAACACAGTCAATTTTTAAGATCAATAATGTTCTTAGCTGTTCATTGTTGACTGACTAAAAGCTGGTGCCATCTACTGATTGTAGCCAAAACTGTTAACAGCAGAATTATGCACAAAATGTGATTGTGATTAAAACAACTTTATTTTTCTAACAGGATAACTGATTTATAGAACTACTTACCATCAGAAGTAATGGAAGCCACCACTTTACAAGATCTTGGTAGTGGAAGCAATGATTTCCTCAAAAAATAAAGGTGGGGTTTAAATTTTTTCTTTTCTCATGAATGGGTGTGCAGAGACAGTCTGGAGGGACCATATTGTCTATTGCTGTATGTTATGTTCCCACATCTAAGTGTTTACTGTTAATAGCACAAATTGACTGTAGCATAGTGAGTAGTTTATAGTATGTTAATGTTCAAGCTCATTTTACAGATAAATTTATAAAATTACATTTTCTAGCTAGCACCTATTGGATGGTTTACACCAAACTGTGCTTTAAAAGTCTGAAGAAAGTAAATGGATATTACTAGCAATACTGTGGGTTAATAACACCAATATCCATCACTAAATACAGCAATACTTAAGGTAAAACAAACCTACTTGTATACTGTGCTTACTTTAATGGAGTGCTATTCCCATTTTTAATCTTAATATAAAGTTTTCCATGTATAAATATGGCTTTAAGTTGAAATATTTTTCTGAATTATTTCTAAACTTAAAAGGTTTTCATGTAAATTTCCTCCTGATAAGGTATTGATATGGACCTCAAAACAATTTTAAATAATTACTTCCTACTGAGGAAAAGGCTGAAACTAACAGATTTTCAATTCAACACTAAGCATACTGTGATGGTCAAAGTGGAAAGCTGGACACTTGGTTTTTGACTAGCTTTTAGCTTAAATTCGAATGGTAGATTAGCTATCTCAGATTTCTCATAAGGATGAGGGTTTTGAATTTAAGTTTCAATCATGTTATGTTTCACAAGTCCATGATACAGGACTAAACTATAGTCAGCAGTACAACTAATGAACTGTACGTAATTATTACAATTTCTACACACACATGAAACAGTTGAAATAATTGAAAGAACTATGTTTTTTTAAAAAACTCACACAAGTTTTCATCAGTTGCACCATAGTATTAGTAAAACTTTTGAGATAACACGTTAACCTCAGTTCTTGTATCTCACCTGATGATGCAAGGTAAGCCTAGTGAAACGTTGTGAACAAAATAAACAAAAATTTTACTACTATTTACAACCGATAAAACTTGTGAAATTAAAAATAGTTGTTTCCAACGTCATGTTCACGATCAATTATCAAGTATTCTGACACTGACAGTGATAATAATTTATAAAGTCCATTAAAGATTGTTATTTATAATAGAATTTATAAAATGTGTATTGTTATAACTCAAGTATTCTTTGTTACTGGAATAATACATTACAATTAATAAACAAAACTGATACCTTTTGAATAATTTCAAATTTCTTATCGCCAACATGATATTTCAATACAACGAAACCACCTCTCATCACACCAGTCACTTCTAATAATATTTAAACGCACGTGATTTGTTAAAATCAAGGTTTAAAATATAGTTATATAACATTAGAGGACGCTTTTATAATTATAATTATAGCAAAAAAGAAAAAGGAAGAAGAAGCAAAACTTTAATCAGTATTTACTTAGTCTTTAAAAGCGGGATGGTAAGTATAATTTAGCTCATTTAATTCATTATAGCTTCAATGAAATCAGGAATTATGAAAGCCTTATTTCTTAAAGTTGTCTTACATAAAACAACCACTTATTGTTTTCGGCTTATGAAAACAAATAATTTCCGGCGGATGTAAAGAAAAATAATTTAAAGCCTTTTCAAACATGTATGTTTATTACCTATTAGTCGATGTCGTTTGCTTTTATTCTTACCTCGAGATTACAAAATACGAAACGAAATGAGTCGCCAATAAAAAATCGCTCTACGGTTTTTGGAGCCGTGGGTGCGTTAAAAAGGTATTGTCAAATCCCACTTCTGGTCTAAGATATGTCAGTGGATGGTATTGACTATGTTACGTCTCCGTTCGTTAGTTAAATTTTCCGTAAAAATGCTTTCCGAACAAACTTCACCGATACAAGTCCTTTCTTAAATAAAACTGGTTTATTCTTTCTGAATACAACTTTGCGATACACTTAATTTCAACAGTCGCGCTATAACAAACGCTGTAATTCACAACGAACGTCTCACGTGCTCAACAATATTTTCTCTCCGCAGTTCAATTACACATTACCTCACGTTCAGTTCTTACCGGTTTATATATACAAGACTACGATTTATCTAGTAGATTCTCGACAATTAAGGAAAGGACGTGAACGTTCGAGAAGGACGTGGCGTGATACTAGTCACGTGCCCTCTGCTGTCGCAACACTGCCCCATCCTTAGTATTTTTCGTCCCGAACAATAGCCACTTACATTAAACCAATAAATATCAACAATAACTTAATTAAATGTACAGAATTACAAACACAAAATTACAATTCAATAAAGTCTTTTAATTTTACGGGACGTATCTTCTTCCGTACTGGTCTCCGTCTCGTTGGCTTCTGCTTCATCTGCGGTTCATCTGCTTCATCAGAAAATGTCCTATCGTCGGTAACAATCATATCAGTGGTAGTAAATTCATCAAGAGCTTCACCGTTTCCCTTCTCAAAACTGAGTAGGGTTTCTTCTTTGACAGTGGCTTCTTCAGGTGGCACATCTTCAGCAGCGTCATTTGTTCTGTTGTCTACTTCGTCCCACCTGAAATGTCCTGGACCGTGATAATGCCAAAGCCTGTTAGCATGCACCACTTTTGGCTTACCTCGCCGACCACATTTTATCTGGAAAGTCACGTCTGAGAGACAATCCACTATGTCATATGGGCCTTCCCATGGAGAAGACAACTTAGGAGACTTCCCTCTTCTCCAACATTCTCTGCTTTGAATTTTCTAGTATGGTAGAGAGAAAAACCCTTAGTACAAGTGATAGCATAATTGATCCTATTTTTTCCCTTCCTTTTCTGCAGTTCTCTGTAAAGGAAAATATATCTGTTCCAGAATATAGGGGAGAAAAATTAGTATGTGCCTTTGATTCTATGGTACAATGTACACATACATCAGACATGGTAGAAATCATATAGCACAACACAGCAAACAAAAAAATTAAAAGATCAATAAAACAGCCCCCCCCCCCCCCAACTTTGATGGCTCAAGAATATGCCTGAGGCTTACAACCTAAAATCTGGGTTTCAACAACCATGGTGAGCAGAGCACAAATAACCCATTGTTTGACTTTGTGCTTAATAACAAACAATAGGACAGTCGGCATGACGTTGATAAATTTGTCCATCTAAAAATGTATATCTTGATCAGCTAC